TTCAGGGCTTAGGGGTTTAGGGGTTTTGGGTTTAGGGGGCCCCTCAAAGATGAATCAGAATGAAGGAAAGTTGGTTCGGATCCTCTCCGTCTGGAGTTTATTGTCGCAGCCAGAAAGTTGGAGCATAACCATCATCATCATCATCATCATCATCATAATCATCATCATCATTCCCTTAAGGTTGAAGTAATTATACGGATTCTGAGCACCACTCATCCTAAATACGTGCTTCAACTTTCTGGGGTTCACTCTAAACCCTGAACCCTTCGCTGTAGCCAGTCCTGAAGAGACGGGGTCGCTAGGGCCACAGGTGAGCCCGAAAAGCCAGAAAAGGGCCCGAAAATCACTCAGCCTTAGACCGACCCTAAGGCCCGGCGGTTTAGGGTTTTAGGGTTTAGGGCAAAAACCTCGCAGCCTTCTCCGATTTCCAGGGCAGTTCTGAATTCCAAAGTCTGCGGCAGCGCTGCTGCGAGGAGCTGCAGGATTTGCTTCAGGCCCGTTTATCAAGAGGGGTTTAGAGATTCAGGCGTTAAGGGATTCGGGTTTGGGGTTTGAGGTTTAGGGCGGGTGTTTCTACACTGTACACAACAAGAGATATGCACACTACTGATACCATATTATCGTTGTCTACCAGCCAGATTTCCCATGGACTATATGGCACAACTCCTAAGGCCTAAACCCTAATCCTTAAACCCTCAACCCTAAACCCTAAACCCACCTAAAGCCTGAGCCTCCGTGCGACACGTTGCAATCTTCAGCCATTCACGAAAAGCGATCAACTGCTCTTTAGGGTTTTTAGGGTTTTAAGGTTTGGGGTCTAGGGTTTTAGGGTTTAGGGCTTTAGGGTACAAACCCTAAATCATAGAAGCCTGAGCCCTTGACACCTGAAGCCCTGAAAATCAAACCCGCAAGTGGTCTGTTGTTTCAGAACCTGTGGTTTAAACCGAAGCCCTACACCTAAGTAGTGGCCCCTTCGAGTTCCCTTGAACCTGCCATTCTACAGCTTAGCCCTTATTGCATTTAGGATTCAGGGTTGAGGAGGTGACAGACCGAAGTATTTTGGACGGCTTCTTTTTGCATTCGACGCACTTGACATCGAAGTTTCAAGAGCACCCGAGACCTTGAGCGCTCAACCCTCACACGCGGAGAGGCCTACACGCGGGATGACTCAGGACCCCTGTGGGAGTGCCGACAAGACATCGGGAGGCCCGGAAGCATCCCAAATCGCCACGGTTTAGGGTTTAGGGTTTAGGGTTTAGGGTTTAGGGTTTAGCCTGGACAGTTGCCAATGTTTGTTGCCCCTTAGGGTTCCCTACTTATCATACTTGCGTATAATTATGCGACAAAGCCCCATTCCAGTTTTTGCGGCGCCTAGACGCGAATTTTGCAGCGCAACACACATGGTTGCGGGCGAGGATAGAGGGTTTCTGGAAGGCCGTTGTCATGTGTCTTCCGGCTCTACGACTCAAGCTGTATGAAGCGCCGAAAATGTAGATAGTTCTTGTTCAGGAAAGTGCTTCTGACTTTCGTGCTGTGGCGGGGGCTCTTGTGAGAGGAGTCCTGATGTCGCTTAAAGTCTACAGGAGTAGACTTTCATCTTTCATACAACCAATGCGAACAAGCACGAGAGTTGTAGTGGTCGTAGCAGTCGCAGTGGTAGCAGCAGCAGCTGCTGTCGGCATGAACATTCGTGGAAGTGCATTGAACTAAGCGACCAGTTCTTAATTGATGTAACCCGACTGTGCCACGGGTCCAGGGTTTAGGGGTTCGGGTTTAGGGTCATCATCACTACTAGAAACTTCTCGTCGGATCGTGCAGAGTCGAAGCAGTAGGAAACAAAGCTTCGCTGTGATCGAGTATTGTGCTCCCTCCCTCCCTCCCTCCCTC